GGAACCCAGGCAGCGGCACACAGCAAACGCGCGCGAGCGGGACCGCACCAACAGCGTGAACACGGCCTTCACGGCGCTGCGCACGCTCATCCCCACCGAGCCGGCTGACCGCAAGCTCTCCAAGATCGAGACGTTGCGCCTGGCCTCCAGCTACATCTCGCACCTGGGCAACGTGCTGCTGCTGGGCGAGGCCGGTGGCGATGAGCAGCCGTGCCACGCAGGACCCGCCTTCTACCACCCGGCACGCACAGGCAGTCCCCCGCCGCCGCCCTCTCGGGACAGCGAGAACGCGCAGCCCAAGCAGATCTGCACCTTCTGCCTCAGCAACCAGAGAAAGCTGGTGAGCAAGGCCAGCGGCCACCCATCTGCAGCCCAAATGGGGCATGGGGCAGGGAGACTAAGGGTGTGTGTGTGGGGGTGGGGGGGGGGGACGACACAACACAGATGGGAACTCCCAGGGCCAGGTCAGGGCCAGGGGGAAGTCCAGGAGAAGCTCAAGCAGCCCTGGCCAGCCCCCTTGGTCCCACAGAAAGGGGCCTGTCCAGGAAGACCTAACTGGCACCTGCTGACCGTACCCCACCCGCTGGGACTCCTTGCTCTCGGGCAGCAGGGGCCTCTGACTGCCAGGCCAGCTGCTCTTGGTGGTACTGGCGCAGCAGGGTGAGATGGAGAAAGGTGGGCCCAGCTCCCCCAATTCCATATCCTCCTCCAGGCAGGAGCTCCTGGGGCCAAGACATATGGGAAGTTAAATTTTACCAGTGTGGCTGAGCTTAGTGCCCCCTGCTCCCCCTGCTCAGGGATACTGGGGCCAGCATGGGGGTGGGGAGGGCTCAGTGACTGCACCCCAAGTAGCCAGAGCTGCAGGGGAGCCCAGGCCCCTGCACGCCTGACAGCTCCCCTCCCTCCCCCCCAACTCCTCCACAGAGCAAGGACCGGGACAGAAAGATGGCGATTCGGAGTTAGAGAAGCTGGCCAGCTCAAAGATGATTGCTGGCCAGGAGAGTCAGGACCGTCCCTGTGGACCCTTCAAAGGAGCTGAGAGTGGCTGGCAAGCTGGGCCAAGGACAGCAGGCAGCCAGTCCAGCCCAGCCCGTGAGGCTGACTGACAGACGGCAGCAGGACTCTGGGCCAGTCCTAACCCGTGCCACCTAGAACTTTCCACGCTGGCATCCTGCCTGCCTTTCTTCTAGGTCATGATGTGCTTTGATATAATATAAAGTCTGGAAATTTTGTATAATTAAAACCCAAACCGTATCTTTTAGCTATGGGGCTGCCACATCCTCGTAGGCGACTCCGGCCATTCTCCTTCCCAAGCAAGGACAGGTGCCCATCTGAGGTGGGGGTGGCCCCCTTGACCACTGGACCAGGATGCACCCAGCGCACTTGGGCAGGCAACCCTGCAGGCGGCCAGGGGCCACAAGCAGGAAAGGAGGATGAAGTTCCCCAGTGGCTGACAGCCTTTGGGCCCCTTCACCCACCGGCTCCCGAGGACCAAGCACACCCCAGGTCACAGGCCAAGACAGCCTCTCCTCCTTAGCCCCCAATCTAGCACAGCAGAGGCAAGGAGTGGGGGGGGGGGGTCCTCGTGGAGAACACTCCTACTAGTGTGCCTACTCTTCTGGGCAGGGAGGGAGCAGCCAGTCAGAGGTGAGGCCCTTTTGGCCCACCCCTAGCTCGTAGAGGGAGACTTAGCCCCCCACCCCCACCCTACTGCAGCGCACAGCTGGCTGGCCATTAAAATCCTGCAGGTGACAATTATAGTTCAGTGATGTGAGCTCCACAGGGCACAGCCGAGAAGCAAGGGGGCAGGCGCCCCCCCCCCCACAAAGCCTGACTTCCAGGAGGGGGTGGGGCGCGATGAGGTGAGGGCCAGGTGCAGGGTGATTATGGATCCAAGGGGGCTCCCCTATTTGGATGGCAGCAGGACTGGCTCCCCAGCAGGCTTGGAGGGACCCAGCCCAACAACAGCTAGGAAGACACAGGCGCCAGACACACATGCCCACCCCCGTGGTCCACTCCTCTGCTAGCGGGGGCTCCAGGGACGCGCAAGGCAGGAAGCGGTGGTGTAATCTTGGAGGAAATTCTCAAAGCCAGAGCCATTAAGGGCTGGGGGCTGTGTCCAATCTGATAGAAATACAACAAGACAAAAACCCTTATGGCTGGCTCTATTCAGAGAGAAACCCAACCCCAAATTTCCTCTCCCTGATCCTGCAGGGGCCCACAGCTGGCGGGGGCGGAGGAGGGCTGCCCAGCACGGTCCCAGAGAGCCGGGCCGGGCGAGTGAGCGAGGCATGCCCAGCTTTGCACAGTGCTCTCCCATCACCCTGGCCAGCTGCCTCCAGCCCCTCACGCCGGGTGCACACCGCTCAGGGATCGACTGGATCGGACCCGCCCTACTGGCCATGGACCACCGCCTCGGGGCACAGACAGAACATGGCCCAGAGGAGCGATGCCCACCAATGGCAGTGCCTTGGGCAAGGAGGGGCCCTGTGGTCCTGGCAGCCCCCAGGCTGGACTGGAGGTGCAGTGACCCCTTGGCCTGAGGGCCTGGTCCAGTGTGAGGAGCTGGGCGGGAGTGGCCAGCACGCTGGCGGTGGCGGTGACATGGGGCTCTGTGATTCATTTGGGAGCCTTGTGGGCGAGTTCAGGTCAAGGAGCGTGTGGCTCGCTTGGTCCTGGTGTTGAGCTCAGGTTGCAGTGACCAAGCAGGGCTGTCCCTGCACCCGGGCCCGACAGCCACTCAGCCCAGTGCAGCGTTGGCTCTACAATGGCTGCAGCTTGGCAGGGCAGGCGGGCAGGCGGCCCAGAGCTCCCGGTAGCGGTAGCAGCAGCTCCCCAGCAGCCAGCAGAGCAGAAGGGGGGCAGGAGAGGAACTGTCACCCCCCACCACAGCAGACCTGGAACAGACGGGGCAGGGCCGTCTGCAGCCCAAAAGACCCTGGTGAGCGGCCACTGGTCCCGGGTGGCAGGTGCTCGCCTCCCAGAATGCCCCCCTCCCCCCACCAAGGACCCAGCAGGCAACACTCTGGCCCCCTGAGGGGGCCAGGGCGGAGGCCGCCTGCTTCAGGGCTGGGCTGGAAACGCTCTGGGCCTGAGCTGTCGGCTCCCTGTCCCCAGGCGGGAACGAGCTGCTGGCCGCACCACATGATTCATCACCAGCCGCCCGCGGCACCCAGACCAGCGCCCCAGCCTCGCTCAGCACCTGTGGCTGCCAGGAAACACATGTGACAGCGCCCCCACACCCGGGCAGGCCGTGCTCATGGGACCCCAGGCCTGGCCTCCCAAGGTCCACTTAGGCCCTAGGCCAGTGTGGTCCCCCACAGCCCAAGGCTGAGTGCCCCCCAGCAGACTCGGACCCAGGCCGGCGACCGGCTGGGGTGTTTCCGCTGGCGGTGCACGCCGCCTCTCCCTCTCCCTCTCCCCCTCCCCCTCCCTAAAGTGGCTGCAGCTGTCAGGAGCCGATTGGAAGTGCAGGTACGCCTGGCGGGCTGCCCGCCCGGTGTCTGTCTGCGAGAGAGGAAGCCAGCCCACCTCTGGAATCCTTCACTCGCTCCTCGTTCCGCTCCCCACCTGTCCCCGGGGAGCGTGGGGTCAGCGTCCTCGCTGGCCCTGCTCCCCCTGCCCCTCTCCGATTACAATGCAGGCACTGTTCCTGCCCCCCCCAACCCCCCACCCCCGTCCGTCCGCTGCACTCGGCCCTCCCAGCGCACGGCCTTCCAGCTCTGCCGGCTCCTCAGCGCCCCCGGCAGCCGCGCCCAGGCTCACCTGCGGCACTCGACCCCCAGAACCTTCCGGAGCCCGGCTGACAGGCCTGCACAGCTGCTTCTTGCCCCAGATGCCAACACAGGGCTCCACCCACCCGTGGGGCCCAGCTCCACAGGACTCACCCACCACCCCCTGCTCGCCTGACAGAGAAATCCCCTCCCCCATGGGGACTAGCACCCCACCCTCTGGGCTGGGCTCCTGCCCAGCAGCATAGATGGGCCAGACCCACAAGAGGAACTGCTTCAAGACCAGGGCACCAAGGGGCCCCTCTTGTTCAGCCTCCAGCCCCACCCCCAACTACTGGGCGTCTCAGCCGGGCATTTCACCCCAAACTCAATGCCCACCTGTGCCTTCCTCCCAGCTTCTCCCTGCCCACACCAGTCAGTGCCCTGCCCTGTGAACCAAGTGAAAAGTTTAACGAAGCCCAGCAGGCCTGGAAGGTCCCAGTGACCACAATGGGCAAAGTTCCCCCTTTCCCCACCCAGCTTACACCTGGACCTTCAGGTGCCCAGCACAGGCAGGTAGCCTCAGCCCCAGGCACAGCCAGCCAGGGCAGGGGCAAGTCCCCAAGCGCCAGGGCCTGGCTGGGTCAGCAATCCTGCTGGGAGGGGCAGGAGGCTGGCCGGGCCGCAGGGCCAGTGCTGCACAAACAGGGGAGGGCGGCTGCTGGCTCCCTCAGAAACCTGAGCCTAGCTCGGCCGGCCGGGGCGCCAGAGCCAGGCTCCCGCTCCAGTCGGCGGGCGGCCAGCAGGCGGGGGCAGGAGCCGCCGCCAGCATGGAGGCAGCTGCTGTTCAGTAGCCGGGAGAAGCCATTAACGGCCTTGGCCCGAGAGCAGAGGGCGGCAGGCGGTGCAGGCAGACCGGCCGGACGTCCCTGTGGGCTCCTGAGTTACAGCCGGCCGCCAGGGAGGCCTGCAGGCCAGCCCAGCCCACCCCGTAACCCTCCCTCTGACCCTCAGCCACCAGCCTCAGTTTCTCCCAGATGTTGGAAACACAGAGGAGGGCTGCTGCGGAAAAAGGCTCCCCTCCCACCTCCGCCCCTGCCCCCTCCCTGGGGGTCCCGGCAGATGAGATCACGTCTGTGAAGCAGCCATGGGGTAGGGAGGTGTGGGTGGACTTGTGGGGGGTGGGCAGGCGGGTCCTTCCCTCCCTCACCCGCCAGGGGTGTGATTTGGGGGATGGGAGGAGAAGGATAGGGACCAAGGGTCCCCAGGGAGGCTAGTCAGTGCAGGGCCAGGGGCTCTCCCTGCGTCAGCTCCAGCTGGCCCTGCCCAGCCTCCAGGTGAGAGTGGCCGAGCACTCCTCCTAGACCCCTCCCCCCCATGAACCCACCTGAGCACTAATTCCTTCCTATACAGCTTTTGGCAGGGACCCCCAGCCCCTTCTGGAGCCTGGCCTGAACCTGAGACCTCGGGGTTGTGGGGCAGGGGCCCGCTGTGCCCTCCAACATGCCAGGATCACCTGGCGCGGCTGGGCTCCCAGCACTAGGGCCTCCACTGGGAACACAATAGCCCTTCAGGCTCACATCTTCTGCATAAGCACCCCCTGCCCCACAGGTCGGTCCTGCCCCCCTGCCCCCCACGAGCACAGGCTGGCGGAGCAGCTGCAAGGCCCTGGCCAGGCTCCTGAAAGCTGAGCTCTGCCGCCCCCTCGAGCCTCTGGCTGGCTGTGCTGGCGGGGGTACCGCCATCACTCAGCTCTGGGCCATATGGGATAGTCATCCAGGAGGAAGTGAGTGCCCCGCCCCCACTGCTTCCTCGGCTGGGCGGCCAGGCGGCCGGGCAGGCTGCCCACCTTGCCCCCTGCAGCGCCGCCCATGGTCTGCCCTGGACGCCTCTCAGGGTGGGAGCCTCCCCCCAGCAACCACTGGTGACTCTCAGAGCCCCGAATGTGAAAACTCTGCCGACAGGATGTGGCTGCCGACGCCAGGGCCCCTGGGAGGGGGGTGGAGAGGGGAGGCAGGCGGGAGCCGAGCTGCACCCCTCTCGCCCGCCACTCCCGGCCAGGAAACCAATTTATTTTGTTTTGTCTCTGTTCTCTGAGCGCACAGCGCAGCCTGGGGCAAGCAGGGGGCCAGGCCAGGCAGCCGCTGCCACGAGCCAGAGGAGGGGGGCTACCAAGAGATGCGACCCCAGGTAGGAGAGAGGGGCTCCTGAGAGCTCCCCCCCCCCTGAAGCCCCCACCTCACAGCCCGAGACCAGTAGCCTGGTACCACCGTGTCTTGTCCCAAACTCAAGACACAGCATGAGGACCAGTGCCCCAGACCCCCTGGGGGCCTGTCCTGACCCTCAGCTCACATACAGACCCTAGCCCACCCCAAAGGGGGGCAGTGTGGAAGCGCCAGGGCCTGAGGACACACACGGGGGTATCAGTCAGTCAGCCCCTCCCCAGGCTCCCAGCAGAGGCTGGAGGGATACTAGGAGACAGACTGCCTGTGACACACAAGCAGAGGGCTCTGCGCCCCACCTACCCGGGCACCCGCGCATATCACCTCACTCACACATCCCAGACCCTAATGGCTCCTGCACCTGGGATGGCCTCGTGCCAGCACACCCTCGCAGGCTGCTCTGGGCTCTCCGCCCCCCAACCTGGGGCCAACCTCAGCCCACACACCAGCCCCTGGCAAAAGGTCCAGCCTCAAGAGCCCACCTCCTCATCAGAGCTGTCCTCTGCATATTCGTCCTGGCCAGGTGTGCTCCCCGCCGCCTCCATCCTCAGCGAGTGGCCGCCGCCAGCCTGTGAAGAGACAGTCATGTGGAAGACACAGCCCCAGGCCTAGGTCCCGGGCCTCGCCCAAGGGAGTGCCCTCATCCCTCTCTGCTCCGGCCACAGCCCGCAGGATAAGGCCAGACTCAGCACCGTGAGTCCCATGCAGGGGGCAATACTGGACCCTCCCTGTTCAGGTCTGCCTGCCCCCAGCTGCACGCCCCGCACTGGCCATGCTGGGCAGCCAAGGACAGACTGGGGTCATACTGTCCAGTCACAGGCCCTTCCTGTGCCCTATAGACAAGCCAGAAATGTGGATGCTGGCTGCATAGCCCTGAGCTAGCAGCTCCCAGCCGCCCACCGCCACCAGCTCACCCCAGCAGGGGTGCCCACAGCCCACAGGGGGCAGCAAGGTCGGGCTCAGACCCGCTCCCCCCAAGCCACCTCCCAGGCAAGCCAGACCTGCCAAGCACCTCAGACCTCAATGGTAAGGGGTGTCACACACCACACACACCCTCCCCCTCTGTGGCTCTCATAGCCTGACCTGGAAAACAGATCGAGGCTTCTTCCCAGGCTGATGGGAAACGCAGCCTCTCTGCCCCAGCCCTGGGGACAAAGCCCCCACTGCCTTCCTGCCCTCCCCTCTCCCCTGGGCACTCCAAGGGCAGGAGCCAAGGCTTTGCCTGGGAAGGGCTTGCTTTCCACAGCAGCCTCCCACGCAGGGCTGCTCTGCTCGCCCCTCCCCAGGCCCCGGGACTCCTGCCTCCAAGTGCCCAATGAGTACGGGGGAGCCCAGGACCCCACCATGTCCATAAGCTGGTCGGCACCCACCTGTCATCCAGCACACAGTGCACCTATACTGCAGGGTGATGGGTGGGGCACCGGAGGGGTGCCCCATGGCCCACAGGTCTGGAG